TAAGAACTCTTAGTGTTGTTGGAAGAAGGGAAGAAGGCAGTGGGTAGGACATGGTGTACCARACCATTTGCAGTCATAAGAAGAGCAAGCATGATGTATTCCATCTCACCTCCTGGCTTGAACACTTGAGAGACCACCTCCTTGGGAAGTGCTCTGGTGTAACAAGCCATTCACTCAAAAGGAAAGCACATGAATTTGAAACAGGAAGCAGAAAGTAACTAGATTATGATCTGTCCTAGCAAGAGAACTGTTAAGTAAATGCAGTAGGAAGCAAAACATGAAGATGTGGTTCMGTTCTGCATAGCACAGCTGAGGAGAAAAACAGCATCCATTTAGGGAAAAGCAGATGGTAGAAAGGAAACGTGCAGTACCTATAACTCATGTAATATATACATATATTCAGGGGCAGTACCTAGGGGAGGTGGTCTCTGCAAGGAATAAATAAAAAAGTTAGAGAGGTATAGCAGCCACCATAAGCCAATGACAAGAAGATGGAAGTCAAAAGGAATGGAATGCAGCAAGTCTGATTTATGCCACCACTGTGCTCCACTATGTCAAGTCCCCTTCTCAGTGCACATGTTTATAGCTTGGMGGGAACAATCACACCAGAGCTGATTGTGTATTTGCAAGGTTGCAACCTACTGCAAGTTTATGCAAGCTCAGCTCAAGAGGTAAGGCAACACAGGTAAATAAAAAGGTCCACTTTTCAAAAGAACAAAGGTTTTAGTTGGAATTGATCCTTATAGGAAAAGTGAGCTCACAACAAGACTTGACAAAAAGTATCTGGCTTTGCTTTTCTTTCTGGGAAACCAGGGGCTGAAAGGCATCTGGGGGAATACCCATCTCTCTGCACATCAGGAGACACAAGTTCCTTCAGAGCCCCAGTTATCTATGATTATTCATCTTTAATGAGTCCTTGCAGATCTCTCACCTCCATACATTTCCTRGCTTGTGACCTTACACTATGCACTTTTGCTTACCAGGGTTTTCTCTAATGACATCCCTATGCCCTTCCTAAAGAAAGGCACTTTCCCCATCTGCATTTCCATGGAATTTTTGCAATACCCTCTATTTGAAGCTCCTCAGTTTCCAGTTGCRAAAGTCCCTGAGCTGGAGCTGTCTGGGCTGGAGGATTCAGGTGCACAGTAACAAGGACCAAATCTCGGGGTCTAAGCATTAACCTCATTAATTAATTAATTTGTAACACTAATGCAGCGTGTTCAGGAACTGGACTGTAGTTCTCATCCTGACCCTGCCTTAGACCGGCTCTACCACTTTGGGCAGGTCATTTTTCCCATCTGGCTTTCTTGGTTTCCCCATCTGTAGAGCGCCAGCTTCATTACCCCTCCTGATATAAAACATCTTGAGATCTTCGGAAGACAAACTGTATTGTGAGCCAGGCACTACTATTATTAGAGCTCTGGTGTGCTACAGAGACACTGGCAAGACACACAAAAGCAAAAATAAATCCAAGGGCRTGGAGAGCAGACAGAGCAATAAAGCACAAATATTGAAGAAAAAAGGGGACAAAATCTAGTGAAAACCAGAGTAGGACACTGGGCATTACTCCCATGGTATAATGGGAAGGATAAATATATGGTAGGATAACACTCTTTGGAAGCAGTTCTCCAAATCCAATTGTCCACCTTCTCAGTCCTTGCGTTCCTMGTAGCTCTGTAGCTGCTCTTACCTAACTCCACACATAAATAAGACTTTTGTATGGTTYGGTTTATAAATGTTTTGACTGACTACAGATATACAGCTCAAATAGGCATAGAGAAGCTCACCRCCTTCTGAGTTCAGCCAGGTTTATCCTTTATCCAGCTGGGAAAAGCAGCCAGTAAGAACTGAAAAGCACAAGGAAGCTTGGAAGCAGACCTGTGGGATGGTGAACTAAACCAATATTTATATAACTACATATGTAATGCTTTACAAACGAAGATCAGCACAGAATTACAGCATCGTCCGGAGATAAGTGAGGCTGAAATCACCATAGTTTTATGTGCGTTACCCTACTGTGCTACTGAGCAAGCAGAAGTTGTTCTCCATCTGTCAGYGTGTCCTCTGCTGTCACAGGATCCTTGCTGCAGAAACTACCATGTTCTGCTCCTTTCCATTATGGATGAACCTGGAGCATCCTGTGATTTTTCTGTACAAGGAGTTACGGTGTCCCTCTAAGCAGTTTCCATTATCTCTTGGGCAAAGAGCAGCTTGTATGTCAGGATTAATATAAAAGAAGACAAAAATTCTATTTGTGTCTTTATAGTTCCTAAGGAACAAGTCACCTTTGCTTTTCACCCAGCATCAGAAGCTGAGAGTGTATGGATGGGCTTTCAAGTGACCAGAGGGAGAGAGACACCAGATCAGCTGGAGAGATACCAGTGCCAGCAAAGAGTGGGGTATGGCATGAACACAGGGTCAAACATTACCTTTGGTGGATTTCATTTTCCCCTTTCTGTTTGGATTTTCATAACCATGTCCTCCTAAAAATTTGTGCAACCTTGCTTCCCAGTTAAAAGGCTTTTTAAAATTTTTCATTTATTTTCTTGTCTTTTTGCTGAGTGATATGAACTGCCAGCAAATACTACATTTCACTCCCCCTCATTAACATTGCAAATTAATTTAGGACTGATTTAGATGTAGGATTAACAACCTGAGGACTAATCCACTCTTTATTCAGAGGACATAATCAGGATGAAGAGTCTTCATCTCACATCACTCAATTAGTTAGYAGGACCATCTCATGGGAAGCAAACAATATCTGTGTCTCTGCTGGCAGAGGAACTGTTCAAGGTTAAGGCAGAGGAGTGGGAGACACCAGACCTGGCCCCAGCTTTGCTCCAGGCTTTTTCTGCTACCATGGGCAAGTGCTTCTACACTACGCACCATTTACCTGGATTTTAACATTGAGAAGTCAGATTTAGAGAAAAGACAAAAGATTAAAAGCAATGTTTGTGGTGGTTTAGAGAAGCATCTTTTATTTCACCAGGTTAAGGATACCTGGGCCAGCTGCCAACACAGAAACTTGTTAAGCTGGAGTAATAGATTTAATAAGCTTTCACTTACATGCCTTTACCCTTATTTATGTGAAATGGTGTTTTATTTTGTGAGCACTCTTTTCCTCTGATAGCACTGTGATTAGTACATTATTATCCACATTGCAGGAGCAAAGTCAAACCCTCAGTTTTCAGAACAGCAAAAAAACCCAAGAGAAAATACTGCTTTACATAAAGCAACAATTACCTATTACAAAATTTGACACACTCAAGAGCAATCCTGCAATATCTCAGTGATGCTCTTTTCAGTGCCCTATGTGTATACTAGAGAAATAAATAACATTTCTTGCAATTAACAAATGAATATCCTGTCGCAGTTAGCTTTTACTTGCTGTCAGTAAATAATCTTCCGAAGGACTTCATCCACTGAGGGGAATGAAAATTAAATGCATGTTTTATAAGTGTMTTTTTCCACCAGAATATTTTCTTTTTTGTCTGATGGTACATTGAGGACCTGTTCCTCTGAGTACAATAAATAAATACAAGTAATTGCTGTAGAAAAGAGTCTGACAGACAGCCAGTGCCATTTTGGCCATACCTGATTGATGTTACTATTAATCAGTGACACTTGTAAAGCTGAAACCTTCTGTTCTGGACACATGCTGGTCACATCAGCTGAGCTAAGCTCTGCTGTCACACAAGGGCAGCATTTTTTAAACATTTAACACAAATTGTTATTAATTGTTTGTATTACAACATTACCAAGAAGCTGCAACCACTGACGAGGATCCTGCTGTGCCATGGAYTGCAGGAAATAAAAAAGGAGGTGACACTGCAGTGGTTCACATACTWTGAAATCAAAGACCGATTGATGGAGCTCCAGAACATTGTCACCTTCAGTGTGATCATAAAGAATGATTTTATACAATTCAGGGTAGGCTACAGTTTCACAGACAAGCTCCTGACAGGTGTTTGGTATCCACTGTGACAGCATAGGAAAACATGTCTGGCTGGCACAGAAACCTAACTCAATCCTCACTTTTTCAGAGCTGTAATTGTCCCAATGCAGTTCCCTCAGACAGATGACAGTGACAAGACAACCACAGCACCACAAATCCGTGACTCTACTAGCTCTCTAAGAGTTTTCAAACCAGACTGTTTTCTTAAAATACTGCATTACCTTAAAATACTGCTACTCCTTTCAACTCTCCATGAGGATCAAACGTGCTGTCATGACTACACAAGACTGATATACAATGTGCAGCCCACCGACACAGGCCCTCCTCTAAGCAACCTCAGGACCAGAGGCCAGAGAAGCTGGATTTGTCCTGGGGTTGTTCAGCTCTGCCTGAAGATGTCTGAGACATGAAAAGCTTGTTCCATTAAAAGGACATCAGAATTGCAACAATCCTTCSTTATAAGACAAGAGAAATGCTGGAAGCTGACAGCATCAAAATCCTAGGGCTGTTGTTAATCCATGAGTTCTCATGGATGCAGTGTTTGTTAGCCTTCCCTGCAGCTCTCACCCTTGGGTTCTCGCCCTGGTGAGTTTTACATTTTCATGCCACACCGTGCTCCCAGGGACTGTCCATTCAGCAGATCCTCTGTCGAGCACATGAAGGTCAAAATACATCACCCTTACTACCAATCTAAAGAAGTGAATAGGGTCCTGCTGTTGTTTTATCATGAGTTTTCTGATCTAGTGGAAATAACCATCTCCCATTTGAATTTAGTTCTTGTAAATAATATCCTTAGGTTTATTTGCTTTTGGTCCATTCTACAATCAAGTCATTCTGAGATGCAACCTCCTGACCAGCAGCAGATGAAGGCCAAAAAAAAACCCTCATGCTCATTTAGCTTCCCAGTAAGAGTGCATTTATTCACCTTTCTAAGAGTAGATTTCACAGCCAATGTGCCCAAGCACCATAATGGAGAAATCTGTGGTTWCCCATTGTAGAACTGGTGCTACAAAGACCAGAGAGAGAAGAAACATTTCTTTCTTACCTGTCTGTAGCAAGCCAGCTCCACTGTCTTTGACTCCAAAGTGCTGCTGGATATCTAGTAACACACCTACAAGGAAAACAAAGAATATGCTCAGTGCCTTCAGCCTTTGAAAAGCTTTCAACCCAAACCTTTTGTGAAGTGTCAGCAAAGCTTCACATTTCAATTTAAATACATAACTCCTAAAGGTTGCACTTTTTTTTTTTCTTTTTATACATGCACACGCAATAGTTTTGGGCTACTACAAGAAAAGCAAAGGTGGACAGATATAACTTCATGCAATGAGCCTGGGAATTAAATACTCATGAATGGAAACTGGTCATTCCCTTMTGCTCAAATAAAATCAGGATTTTCTTGTTGTGTATTTTCTGCATAATCCAGACCCCTTACTTCTGTTATTTTACAGAAATACAGGGAAACTGATTCTGCACCTAAGGTGCTTCAAATGGTTTGACACAACAGACAGATTGAATCCAAGACAAGTTTTAACAAATCTCTGCTGGAAGGAGATATGACACACCGATAGGAACAATAATGGAAGTACTCATATTTAATTAGTTCTGAGGAGTTCTTGCTTTCCAAACAAATATAACAAATAYAACAAATATATTTAAAATAGGTTAGTAAAGGTGGCTAAGTGACCAAATGCTCAGATGTAAAGCAACTACAAGCAGAACCAAACCAAATCTTTTTTCTTCCTTGAACCCCAATATATTAATTGGCACTAGCAAAATTAMCAGGATTTGAWGTATTTACACATYCAACCAGATGTAACATTTTTGTACSAAACATTCTGACATATGTAACATCAGGTATATGGGACAGCCATGTTTTGTAGCCAACAAAGCAACAGGAAAACCCACAGCAGAGCATTTTAGGGGACACAGGTTTGCCGAGCTGTACATGGTCCAGTTGTCTCAGATGCAGATCCATAGGTCTGAATATTTGTCAGTGGTTTAAATAACCAGCATCTTGACTTCCTGGGTCTGGAATGGAGGCTGTTGCTCTCTTTAGATCTGGGACTTCTGCACTTAGACTACTGTCTTCCTCAAATCTGAGGATATGCAAGTTTTGTTGGGTTTTTTGGGGTTTTTTTTTTGTTTGTTTGTTTTTTTTAATAAAACCTATTCTTTAATTACACTGAATATCCAGAAAAGTTCACCTCCAGCTCAAATTCTGATYTAAGGCTTTATCCAAAGTAATTCTGCTCATCATTGCATGTTACAGAAATCAACTGAACACCAACCTGAATTCAGTTACCATAAATATCTTAGCTTTTGCGATTGCCAAGATCACACTTAATGACAAACACAAGTGAGATAAAAGACCCAGAGATCACTATTCCCAGAAGACATTTGGGACAATGCCAAGGGAACAGTCATAAATTAAAAATATGAAAGGGAAACAAGAAGATGGAGAGAAGGAAGRAAAAAGCAAGAAAGTTTATTTGAGCTATTGTGTAATACTTGTACATCACCACTTACTCACTACAGCATTCAGGTGAGCTTTAGGCCTCAATATCTGCCCAGAAACATTAGTTCAAACTCCTGCAACAATTCCCACTTCCCTACTCTCTCATCTGACTGTTTAGCCCCAAAGAAGAAGGCTGAGGGGTTGAAGGATGTGAATGTAATCAATGTATGTCATTAATGATGACAGAGGGGGCAGAGGCAGAGCCAGGCTCTCCACACTGGTGCCCAGTTAAAGAGGCAAAGGGCCCCAACTGAAATTCAGGAAACTACATTTTAAACATAAGAAAATGACTTTTTACTTACTGAGGGAGGTCAAGCATGGATGTTCAGAGAGATTCTGGGCTCCCCATCCCTGGAGAGATGCAAAACACTGCAGGACACAGTCCTGAGCAACTTGCTCTAGTTGAAACTGCATTTAGCAGGGGGCTTGGACTAGATGATCTCCAGAGGTCACTTCTGACCTCAATAATTCTGTGATTCTGTATTTTTCTGAAGAACCTGATTACACCCAGCCTGACACAATATTCCCYTGGCCTTTCTTTTTCTTTGGAACATTGCTGTCTACTACAATTCCAACAGGAATTGCTTTGCTTCCTCTTGGATGGCAGATTTAATTCAATTTACAAAGTGTTCTGGCATTTCTTGACTGTGCTTCCCTAGTTTGCTGCATTATTAACTGAGATACCATTATCCAGGCAGCAACTGATGAACAAAAATAAATTTGCATTTGCCTAGCAAGCCCCTTCATGGCTTAGCTGACTTACCTGCTCCCCTTGGTGTTCCACTCTTCCACAAAAAAAAAAAATGTTTCTCATGCAACCCAACTTACAAACCTCATAAAGCTTAACCAGCTCTGTGCATTTTGTGCTCTGTTACTGCTTGCTCCCAGACTGCCCGCATCAGGCAAAGCTCAGCAAGTCACAACAACTCGTGGGCACTATAATCCCAACTTKAGGGATAATAAAATCATCAGCATTCTCAAGAAAAATGTGGAAGAAGAGAGGAAATACTGAGTGCAGTATTTTCTCATGCTCTCCTATCATCATTCAGTTGTGCTGCACAGAAATGAAATATCCTATTCACTGCCTGCAGCTGAGCAGTGAGTTCACTAGATGGAATATATTTCATGAGGGAATACACACACATGTCCACAGCTCCCTCCAGCACCCTGAAAGCTGCTATTCCTGCCTTCAGCAACATATTCCCAGCCATGCCAGAATGCCAGAGACACATTAAACTACTAAAACTTATGAGAATTATGAGTCTGGGATGTGATGGAAAACAGATTTTTATGGAATTCCATCAGAAACCAGAACAGAATGTACAAGGGAACATAATGGTGCCTACAGAGCAAAGTAGAGGAGAGTTTCCAGTTCATGACAAGTTATTAGTCCAGGAACAATTGTTTCACAGTCCTACAGACTATAATGAGTTTTACAAGCTTGGACTCCTGTAGCCACGAATGAAACACAGGACACAGACATGCACACACCTTGGATTAATYCTACAATTTTACCCTGGTGGTGAAGAGGAAAGTGGGTTCTGTGGAGCGTCARTGCAACAGGACAATGCAGAACCACAATTATAGTCCTGTGTGAACTTGGAAGAAGGTCCCCAATGATTAAGAGAGATCTGCATGTCTAATTGGCAAGGATTTCCTACTCCAAGTTATTTTATATTCTCTTTGGACTCCAGGTGTTTTGATTTGAGTTTAGAGCATTAAATTAGAGGCAGYAGCAGGCAGATGATGCAACACACCTATGAAGTGATAGTAGTTCCTCTGCTGTGGGAGTTTTCCTGTTCAGCCACTCACCTGGGAAGACACTCCTCCTCTCTTAAATTCACTCAGCTCTGTTTCCACCTCACTGTGGTGATGACTCACACCACACTTTAATAAGATTTAGGGATACAATTAAGCAATGATAGACCACGGGAGAATACAGGAAAATGATAGAGCTTTTGACTTTCCCTTCTGCTTCTAGATGATGGGAAGGGAGAGAGCTGGAGCCAGGTCCCAGACAATGACCATGTTGCTTGCAGAGATGTGCTCCCAGGTGTCTCACGGCACCTGACGCAATCCAAGAAACGAAGCTGCCACATGTGGCTGGCAAGGCCTTTCTTGGATTAAAGCTCATACCTATGACCCAGGAGGATCTCAAAATAGCCAAGAGCAGCCAGCAGGCACCAGTCTTCCTGAGAACCTCTTTGGAAGGCTGCTGGCCATTTGGGATGTCTGTATGATTACATGGCACCTGGTATGCTCCCACCTATTATTTCTTAAGCACGTTGTGTATTYTCAGGACTGAGCAAATGCACAGGAAAAATGGTGCCAACCTCCCACAGTATCTCAGCAGCTGAACCAGACTCTGTTAATGCTGATGTAGAGCTTGGAACTCAGTGAGATGAAACACGGGCAGCACCCCGCCAGGAGCGCTGATCAAGATGGGCACAGTGACAAGACTTACCGGGGAATCCAGAKAGAAAAGCAAAGACTGGTTACTGCAGCCCTCTCTAGGGGACTTTTACTAGGCCTAATGTTTAAGTACCTAACAGATACCAAGGCAGTTATCAGACTTTTGTGGGCACTGGCCATGAAGAGAACTTTAAACAGCATTTTGGATGATAAAAGGTCATGGAGTGTTAGAGATAGGGAGTGCCTGACCTCATCCACTTGCAGAGTCAGAGGGTTTCTAGGGTACTGCTGACATTTTTAATGACCATTTCACAAACAGTGATTGTAAGAGACCTGATTCTGAGGCTTTTGGAATGCAAATCCACATTTAATGGCCTAGGTTATCTCTGATTTAGGGGAAATACTTTGGGAAAGACAAATTTTCCTGGAAGTGTGTGGAGGTGGTACAGATGAGGCAAGCATCTTGCCTAAATAGGTTTTGTGTTCCTGACCTGAGCTACAACAAATCAAAAGCTGCAGGATTCAATGTGGGCTCTTCACCAAATTACTGCTGCCTATATACATTGCCATAATAACAGTGTCCATAAGCTAAACCACAATTTCAAAGCAAAAGGACATTAGCGCTTCCCTGGGAAAGCCCTATTTTCCAGTTACYAAAACAAAACATCATGATTTGCTTTCAAACTGCTTCCAAGGCAGGTATAAAATGTAGAGATGGCCTATGCACAGAGTACAGAGCTACAGAAGCAAAGGCACRTTTCTTTAAATGCTGCTGCAACACCAGGGGCCAATGTAACTACTTACTTAGAAAGAACGTGCATTTTCAAAGGTATTTATTAATGGGGAAAAATTATGGTGCTTGAAAGGAACCAGCACACAGTTTTCCACAGGATGCAGGAAGTGTATGACCCCAGCACCCTCCCTCCTGCTCCACTGCAGGTCTGGACCTCTCTTTGGGGAACCCAGATTCACACTCCCAGCTCCCTGAGAGCCAGATCAGACTCTGTACTGACAATACAGTTTCTTCTATAACCTCTTGCTACCTCTCTTCCTTATAAAGGCATTGTCTTCCCAGACTTTGCTCCCTGGTACTTCCAGAATCAGCTTCCTCAGGAGGAGGTAGCTAAGCAGGGACAGCCAAGCCCTAGCCTTCTATCCATTTAAAGGCACGAACCACCTTCCTC